AGTTGGGATTGATCTATTTTTCAAATTAAAGGATTTAATCCCTATAAACAGAACACGAAACATACACAAAAACGGGGAGCATCAATTTAGAAGCAAAAACAAAATTATAGCGATTATATTTTTTGGGTTTAATTTTTTTTAATTCTGTGATTTTTTTCTGGATTTTGGGTTTGTGTTCTCGGTGTTTTGGTATTTGGTTGCTAGAAGTTTTCTTTTGGGTTTAGATTCTAAGATTTATGATTTGATTCTAGAGTTATTTAGAGTTTTTGGGCTGTGGGGAAATTGATTTAATTCTTGGGCTAGTGATTTTTTTATTTAATCGATTTTCCTCCAAATAAAAAAGGTTTTCAAAAAAAAAAATCAATCCTACCAAATTATCAAAAGATTTAAATATAAAATTAGGTTTTATCATAAGAGAACTTAATGAAGTTTCTTGAAAAAATATTCTTTTAAATCTTATCAACATATTAAAAGATAATTTTTAACAAAAAATTTTATCAATATATTGAAAAATATTTTTGAAAATAAATTATTTTTTTATAAAAATTAGATTTTGATTAGTTATCACAAATAATATTTTTTCATAAAAATTAAATAAATCTAACGACGAAATTTTTTTAAAGTGATACACTAGTCCTTAAGAATACTCTTAAAATAAAAAAATTATCTTAAATTATTATTAAACTATTTGTGTAATTTTAAGATTAATTTTCAACAATTAAATTATTGGATAAAATTATAAAATTATATTAAAGTTTTGATAATTTAAAATCAAACTCGTATAATCTTTTGAATAGACGTTATAAGAGTATTATAATTTTTTTTACACGTAATTTTACTATCAACCTAAAATTTGATTTCATAGATTAAAATATACAATGTAAAAATATCTAAATCAATTTTAAAATTTTTTTTATATGAGATAAATTCAATTAAATAATTAATTATACCTAAATAAAAAAAATTGGTGACGATTTTTAAATCCTATGTCTAGCAATACATTATGACATCTATAAAAAAACTAAAAACGCTTTGATCAAGAATACCAAGAAATTATTCAACTTTTGAAGCCTAGAATTTTATCAAAAAGGATATTCGTTTTGATACATTAGAGCAAGGACAAGAGTTTGATAAATTTTCTTACATAAAGTTATTGAAGTTTTCTATTAAAATATTATATAAAATTTTAAAATAAAAATTTAACAAAAAATTAATAATATATAAAAATTATTAAAAATATCTCATTATTTGCCATTATTATGACAAAGCCAATTCATATATCAATTCTACATTTCATTTTCACAAAGTTTAACACAGGCTAAAATATAAAAAATTATCTAGAATTTTACCACTTTACTTAAATAAATCCTTATATATTTATTGCATCCAAATAAACTCTTATGTTTTTTATTTATATTCAAAAAAACCTTTATTTCAAACTAATTATTAAAATTTTTTTCTAGGTCTCTTTAATCATATAATAATTGACTTTTTTATATAAAGTAAATGTTTTACTTCAAGCATTTGTAACTATGAGAAACTGATGTCTTATATGCATTACGTATTATATTAAAAGTTTATTTAGATATGAATTAAAAGTTAAGGACTTATTTAAGTACAAATTAAAATGTTAAGGGTTTATTTTAGTGTAAATAAAAATGTTTATAGGTTATTTGAGTGCAATAAAAGTAAAAAAATTTATCTAAATAAAGTGATAAAGTACAATTTTTTTTATTATTTTAAACTTTAATACACAATATTTTTAATTTCTCATGAAGAATATTTAGCTATTAGTTTTTCATAATTTTAATCGAATTAAATGGTAAATTAGTAAATCTAATCCTTATTTAAAAGGAAAAAATTATGAAAATAAGAAGTCATGGAGAGTAATAGATTTGGATTTTGGACCTAGAAAAAATGAGTTGGTAAGTTCATTTTCATCTAAAAAAATCATATAATATTTTATTACAAACGTTTGTTTTATTTCACATAATTAGAATAGTATTGATATAATATTCCACATGTTAATAATTTTTATTTTTATATCTTTATTAAATAAAATTAAATTAATTGTACAAAAACTCAATTAAAAAAATTAAAATAATTGAATTAATTTTTATTTTGTATAAAATGATATTTTTCTATGCATGATCTTATGTATCAGATGTTGAGGTTTCAATACCTTAACATATGTTAGATTAAGTCTTGGTTTATAATGTAATTTCTATAATATTGAAAGGTATAATAAACACTAAATAACAATTATTAAGAGTAAAAATGAGACAATTTTTTTATTTTGTCAAAAATATGAAAAAATCTCGTAGAAAAAGGGTTTTTTTTTTTTTTATTTCAAACTTTTTTTTTTCTTTTTTGACACTATTAGTAATCTTAAAAATTCTCTAAGAATTATATAATGTAAATCAAATATGAGAATCATATTAAAAAATAAAAATTTTAAAAAATTTTTACTTTTTCTCAAATCAAATGTCATTTTATTGAATATTTAACATGTAATTGGTTGTTGTTTGAAGTTCCTAACTAAACGGTGCATTCACGTGTGCACTTTCCGCTTGGTGCTTCCCTCCATTACAATTAGGATTCAATTGGCTCCGTTATTAAAAATCATAAAAAGCCAATATTTTTAAAAATCATAATACTAGAATTACATCCACGTTTCATTGGGGGATTATTTTTTAGTTTTAATATTATATTTGAAATATAAAGAAAATAGAATTTTTGTATTAAATTTTAATGGATGATAATATATAAATAAATATAAGTATGTTTATTTTTTTAATATGAATTATAACTTACTTATATACAAATATAATTTTTTATTTAAATAAGCTATTGAATAACACTTTTATGAATATAATATATGTGTATAAATATAAATTAAATAATTAATTAATTTTTTTTATATATTTTAAAAAATGTCAAGACAAAGTATTCCAAACTTGATTTAGTTTGATCCAAATATTTCAAAAAAACCAAATTTAACCTTATCTTTACTTTTTTAAAAAAGGTCACATTGATTAGATTTTGATGAATCAAAACTTATTGGATATAAGTTGTGTTGTCATATTTATATTAATTGATATTTTTTACAAAATTTATTTAATAAATAAAATTAAAAAATCAAATAGGATAACATGTGAATTTATTAAATTAAGATATTAAATAATATACATATATAAACATAAAATTAAATAAATAATAAATTATTTATTATTTATATATATCAAGATTAAGATGTAATACTTAAAATCTTATTTTGATTTGAGTTTGATTAAAAAAAAAACTCAACATAATTATCTTTAATTAAAAAAATGTATACCAATTGAATTAAGACAATAGTTTTTCATCGAATATAAATTATTTTGTCATATCTATTTTAATTAATTTTTTTATTACAAAATTTATCTAATTAAAAAATAAAAAAAAATCTAAAAATCATAAAAAGAAACCAAAAAAGCAAAAGCTCCTAAAACAACAAAAAAATGAAAAAAAAAAAAAAAAGGAAAGAGATGCCACACGGACACTCAAAACGGTGTGAAACATTTTAAATCAATCTCTAATCCATCATCATTTAAAAAAATTGATCTGATCTCGATTTTAAAAATATACTTATATTAGATCAAAGTAAATTAAAGCCTATGCAGATTGTTTTATCATTATACTTTTATTAACTTTTTTCATAAAATTTATTTAAGAAAAATAAAAAATAAATTAATAAAATTTTAAAAAAAAAAACTAAAAAAAAGAGAACGAAGAAAATGAGATGTGCTACGCGAAAATCCCACTTCCTCTGATTTGCATTGAACCTCACCTTACTAAAAATTACTTTATAAAAAAAGTGGGTGAACGTAAATCTCAATTTCCTTTTACTAAAAGTATCCCTTGAATATCTTGTTAGAATATTGTTTCATTAAATTATGCTATTTAAAAAAAAATTAACTCCCAATTTTATAAATAAAAATTAATAATGGAAAATGGGGTCAGTCAAAAGTGTCATTTATAGAATGATGATTATGAAGAATTTTATGAAGGGAAACTTAGGTGGGCCCTTGGCCCATACTCTAATTAATGGGCTTTAAAATTGACTTTCCATATCTTCTTCTGAATTTGGTGTCGGTGCAAGCTGTTGACACAATTCCCCACTGGCCTTTTCTTTTTCCATTTTTTTATGATATTAAACTCTTTTTTTCATAATCTTTTTTCTATTTATATTTTTTTGATAAGAAAATTTCTATTTATATTTATATCTTAATAAAAAATTATTTTCTTTTATTAAGATATTTATTTTTAATTAATTTAAATAAAATATTAATTCACTTTAACTAAAGTTCATATTGCATAAGATAACATAAGAAAAAAACAAAATGGGAACAACAACATGCTATTTTCATAAATACATATTAACTTTTTTTAATAAAATTAAAATTGATAGCTCTTTTAAATTTTTACATTTTGTTAGATTATATCTCTATATAATTATTTTACACTAAAATAATGTTAGATGCATAAAATGATGGATAAAATAGTATAATAATTTACTTATTTACCATTTTACATATATTTTTATGTTTTATTTGAACAATTTATATTAATATTAATTGATATTTCTCACAAATTAAAAATGAAATCTAAAAATGAAAAAAATAATAAAAAAATAAGACAAAGGAGAAAAGTAATGCTAAATTATAAATTTAACTGGCTAAGAAAAGATCTACATAAATTAAATTATTTACAAACCAAAATTTATTAATATTTACGTAAAATACCCTAATTTTCTTTTAAAATGAAAAAAATTTACTATTAAAGTACATCTATATTTTATAATAATTTTAAATCTTTTTTATTTATATTTTTCTCATTCAATTTAGTAGGAGCAAAATATAAAATTACTAAAATTTTGTCTAATTTCACAAAATATTTAAAAGGGATTTAAGGATTTCACCGACGCATCCGTCCCTGATTCGACTTTCCTATAAAAGATAGAACCCAGCCAAGCAGAGCCCAACAGGAAAGTAGTAGTAATAATCTGCTGTCGAAGGCCGGAAAGCCACTTGACATAAAAAATGTCAGCTTCAGCTTCTGCTCCATTCCACTCTCTAATCTCATTGTGCTTTTACCTAAGAGGGTAATAAAATGAGAAGAGACACCTATATTTCTCCAAACCCAGATCCCAACGTGTCTACAACAACCTAACTAAAAGCAAAAAAAAAAAAAAAAAAAAAAAGAAAAGGTACAGTTCTAAACATAGTACTTAAGATTTTTATTACGTTCTCTTTGTTATTCATGTTAGATAGTTATCTTCGTTCTGTTCGCGTCTTTTCTTTCTGAACTCAAACTTTCTTTATCAGTTAAGGTAATGTCTTGGTTATGAGTTTTTGCATTTAATTAAAGTTCTTCAAATGGTGTTTTTGCTGATCAGGGCTTCTGTAAGTTGAACTTTAATGGCTAAAGATTGAAAAATCACAATTGAGTGGACTTTTGGAATCTGGATTTCTTTCGCGAACCTAAAAAGATTTAACTTTGAGTGTAAAGTTTCAATCTTTGTTTGAAAAGATTGTATTTAGAAAAATGCTATATTGGTCTCATTTACTGTTAGCAGTGATGTCTTTCATTTATTAGTAGCTGTGGTTAGTCGGGAGTTTTGAGTTGCCACTTGCTTGTTTTGGTATGTTGGTGCTTTTTGACTGCTAGCAATTAATATGTGCTCTACTCTTGGATTCTATCGTTTATAGATTTTCTAGATCTACTCTTTTTCTTTCTCTGGCTCGTGGTTTTTTCGATCTATGAGTTTGATTTACAAGATTGTAAGGACAATAAATTCTATATAGTTTTTAAAAGTTGAAATAGGATTGGAAGAAGTTGTTTGTGGTACTAATTGACTAGTTTTATTGCTCTTCCAGCTGTATGTAACAAGAAAATCCATTGAAAAGAAACATGGCCACTGGGAAGTATTCCATAGTTGATGGGAGGAAGTCTTCAAGTTACTGTTCAACTGCTACTGTAGTTGTGTTTGTTGCTTTTTGCTTAGTTGGGATTTGGATGTTCATGTCCTCATCGGTTGTTCCAGTTCAGGATTCGGAATTGTCATCTCAGGAGACCAGAAATGAGGTGAAACAAAAAGTGCCAAAAGGTGTTTCTACGGGATTTGATGATACCTCAGGTGATCTGCTTGAGGATGCAACGAAAGAAGATGACACTGGTAGGCCTAGTAAAGAATCTGGAAGGACTCATGAAGATAATTCCACTGAGAACTTAATGGTCAAGAGTAACAAGGAATCTCAGAATTTGGCTAAGGAAAACCAGGAAGAAAATGAGAGTTCTGATGACAAAAGTGAGTCAGAAAGTGAACAAAAAAAAGTGGATGAAGATGAGGGGAATGTAAATGGGGAAATGAATAAAAATGTGCTGGCAGAATCAGAGGAGAGCTCACGTCAAAACAGATCTGAGTCAACTGAGGGCAAGAAGAACTATGAGGAAGAAGCAAGTGCATATCAAATAAAACATGTCGACAAGGAGTCTATTTTGACTGAGGAGAAGAATGAAAAAAACAAAGACAAGAGTTCGGAACAAAGTGCTGTCAAGAATATTGTGGAAAGTGAGGAAACCGATCAAGTTTCAAATGAGATTCTCCCTTCTGGTTCTCAGTCAGAAATTTTGACTGAGTCTACTACTCAGAATGGAGCTTGGTTAACCCAAGCAGTAGAATCACAGAATGAGAAGAAAACACAACAATCTTCAATATCCAGTGAAAAAAATGGTCACCATTGGAAACTCTGTAAGTCGACTGCTGGGCCAGACTACATACCTTGCCTAGATAATTGGCAAGTTATCAGAAAGCTTCCAAGCACAAAGCACTATGAACATCGAGAGAGGCACTGTCCTGATGAAGCTCCTACATGTCTTGTCCCTCGACCTGAAGGATATAAGCGCCCAATAAAGTGGCATAAAAGCAGGAATAAAGTAAGCACCTATCTGCCGCCTGAACAAGTGCTTGTGTTTTGTGTATTGACTTTGATTGAAATTTATTCTTTTGGTGCTTGGTGCAGATATGGTACTACAATGTCCCTCACACCAAGCTTGCAGAGGTTAAGGGGCACCAAAATTGGGTTAAAGTAACTGGTGAATACCTTACCTTTCCTGGTGGTGGAACTCAGTTTATTAATGGTGCTCTTCATTACATTGATTTTATTCAAGATGTAAGTCCTTTTCATATATATATTTATATATATATATATTTTGTGTGTATACTAACATGGGTTGTCTGGATATATTCTTGCTTCTATTATGCATTGGTGGTTGCTGATATGTGATTACAAGCTATTTTTATAACACTTTCAAAGGAAAAAGCAGCACATTATTGCGACGTGTAATGTAAGAATTTCCTTTTCATATTTTGTATATAGTTTGCAATTGACATGATTAAAATATCTTGTCTGTAATTTTCTTAAAGCCATGCATCTGTATAGTTATTAGAAAAACCGCATAAATTTCCATATGAAGGCCAATAATACAAGTTCTCCAAGTGAGATCTTTCTTAAGCTTCCGTTTGTATAGATATGCATGCACGCTTAACTTTATTTAGCTGTCTCTCAATCTCTCTCCATACATGTATACTTGGAAGCGGTCTTCTATACACGTTCTTGTGGGCACACTTAGCTCTTTCTAGTGAGCAAACTTGTGATATATAATTGGCTATAGCCTATTTTTAGCTAACAAGGTTTCTTTCTCTTCATCTGAGGAAGCAAAAGTCTATCTGGTTTAACATCTCATACTATTATCGTGAAACCTAAACCACCCCAAGAACTTCAGGCTATTTCAAAACATTGGCATCATTATTTTTTCGAAAACTTTGACTCAAGCCATCAACCACGGCTTATGTATTCTTTAATGTTTTTTCTGCTCATTTCTTTTGTGTTTTGATTAACTTTTACTTTGCTTCCTCTACTTATTTTATTCCAGTTGGGTTAGCTAACTGCTTGGTTTCCACTGGTATGACTTTCATTTTTTGCTGAATTATTTTGTCTAACTATGTAAATTGAATGCATATTTGCTTCAACGATGCAGTCAGTTCCTGAAATTGCATGGGGAAAAAGAACTCGTGTAATACTGGATGTTGGGTGTGGGGTAGCTAGCTTTGGAGGCTATCTTTTTGAAAGAGATGTCCTTGCAATGTCATTTGCTCCTAAGGATGAGCATGAAGCGCAAGTACAGTTTGCACTTGAACGGGGAATTCCTGCCATTTTATCTGTGATGGGCACCAAAAGGCTACCTTTTCCTAGTTCTGTCTTTGATCTTGTGCACTGTGCACGTTGCAGGGTCCCTTGGCACATTGAAGGTGGGATTTCATTTTTATATTTATCAGTGTTTAGTTATATACTGTTATATTCTTTGCTAATATGGAGACACATTTTGAGGCATATTTCAGGTGGCAAACTTCTGTTAGAGCTCAATCGTGTTCTGCGACCTGGTGGTTACTTTGTTTGGTCTGCTACTCCAGTTTACCGGAAGCTCCCTGAAGATGTTGGCATTTGGCAAGGTAAAATACTTTATAACCTAGCCATTTGTCTCCAAAAAGAATGATATTTTGATTTATCTATCCCTTTTCATTTTTGTGGGCTGTGGTTATTAATGGCAGAGATGTCTCGGCTTACAAATTCAATGTGCTGGGATTTGGTGGTCATTAAAAATGACACTCTGAATGCTGTCGGAGCTGCAATATATCGAAAGCCAACTTCCAATGAGTGCTACAATAAAAGATCTAGAAATGTACCTCCACTTTGTGAAGAATATGATGATCCTAACGCGGCCTGGTAATTGTTACTTTTAAGTATCAGTATATTTTCCCTTAGTTGGCAGTAATTGTACAAATATGAAATATTACCATGGTAAGTTTAAATTATGCGTGTATAAATTATGAATAAAGGTCATAGTCAATTGGAAATTGGCTTTTAAAATGATTGAATGGGTGTGATGTTAAGTTTACTGCATATGATTGCCTTGTAGCCATAAACCTTGCAATGCAATTCTAAATGTATCAACATAAAATTTAGATGTTGCGTTTCATCATCTTCTTCAATGTTACTAGAAGTGACCATTAGGAATAAGAGAGAAGTTCTTTAATTTGGCTATAATGAGTCCTACCAACTCGTGTTTATTTAATAAAAGAAAAATTAAGTAGATCTATATTTAATTGTGGTTAATTGCATTCGGGTATCTCCGCATGCATATCTTGATACTTAGGTGTTACCCTATTATGAGTAGTCATATCCTCAGACAGTTTTTCAGCAGGTAGATAGAATCTAATATTGGGAGAAACAAAATATTTGACTGTTGATTTGTCCTTTGAGATGAATTCCATGCAATTTTTCATTTAGTCATTCTGCCCACCACATCTTTGACTAGACCATCAACCTTCTCAGAGTGAAATGTATTCAGAGGGATAGCCTGCTTATTTTTGAAGTTGTATTTGGGTGGATGGCACATGTTTAATGCTTCTGACACATAGGATGTTTATTTTTTAACCTTTTCTTAATGCATTTTTATATATGCGAGCTAGTGGATGTACATTTGCTCTACAAGTATTCACTAGGTTAAAGGAGCATTTCTCTTAAATGTACTCCCAACTTTCTTGATGAATAATGTTTGCAGTGCACTCATTGGATAATATTTTCTGGTTCATGTCTTCAGGAATGTACCACTTGAGGCATGCATGCACAAAGTGCCAGTAGATTCAACAGAGCGTGGATCCCTTTGGCCTGTACAATGGCCAGAACGGTCAGAACAACCTCCATATTGGTTGAATTCTCAGGTTGGCGTTTATGGTAAAGCTGCTCAGGAGGATTTCACTGCAGACTACAATCACTGGAAAACAGTTGTCTCCCAGTCTTATTTGAATGGGATGGGAATCGACTGGTCTTCTGTGAGAAATGTCATGGATATGAAGGCTGTTTATGGAGGGTATTTTGTTTAACCTCTCTCTAGTTATGACAAAATTCATTATGCCCTTTCTTTTCAAGACCAAAATTAGCCTAAGTGAAATTTACGGCTCAGATTACATTTTGGCCTACAATAATCTTGCTAAGTGAGGAAGAAAACTTATGTTCATGTCCTCTTGGAGCTAATAATTTGGCTTTGTTAGAAATTATCAAATTTTAGATAGAGGAAAACCAACCCCCCCTTCTCCCCTATCCCTTCCCCTTTCACTACTTATTCTCTTTTTTTCTACTTTCAAAAAATTATTTGATAGAATTTTTTTTCTCTTGTAGTTATTGTTAAAATATCTTCTCTTGAAGTGCATCTAGACGTGTATAACCTTCTATCCTAGTTCTTTTCATCCTTTTGTGCTTTGGCTTATAGGTTTGCTGCAGCCCTGAAAGACTTGAAAGTGTGGGTTATGAATGTAGTTCCAATCGACTCTCCTGATACACTTCCAGTAATCTATGAACGTGGCTTGTTTGGAATATATCATGATTGGTGTGAATCATTTAACACATACCCGAGAACATACGATTTTCTTCATGCTGATCATCTCTTCTCTACTATCAAAAAGAGGTTTTCTATCTTCCATGCTATATTACTTGCAGATGTCATTCTCCAACAAGATTACATACCTTATCTGATGTTTATTTACTGGCCACAGGTGCAAGTTGGTTACAGTAATTGCAGAAGTTGATCGAATTCTGAGGCCAGAAGGAAAGCTGATAGTGCGAGACAATGCTGAAACCATAAGCGAGGTGGAGAGCATGGCTAAATCTCTACAATGGGAGATACGGATGATTTATTCGAAAGACAACGAGGGATTGCTTTGCGTTCGCAAGACATTTTGGCGTCCCACCGAGGAAGAACCTATAAAGTCTGCCATTGTTTGAGCTTGATGCATAGGAGTTTACCGCACTTGCCATATAATATTACATATTCTTTTTGTTCCACAAGCGTGTCATAGTTTACCACAGACCTAGTCATCCATTGGCAGATGTAAAATTATATAGTTTATTATATTATAGACCTACTTATATCGATTACAATTTGTGTCTAATTTCCATGATGAATTAAAATATGTAATTTCATTACTATGAATCTGAATGAAAATCAAATTCATTCTTGATGTTTCTTCTTACTTTAGTTGCATGTGTATTTCACCTATGTTCCATTTATAAAAAATTATGCGACCATTTAGTACAATTTAACAAGGTAGCTAGGCCAGCCTTGCATGATTATGAACAGCTTCTCAATGGGGTTTTGACAACTAAACTTATGAGGAAGATATGGACAATCTTCTGTATTGGTAGGCGAGCGTCATTGCCATTCCTGACCAACACTATAATTTGGTACAGATCTCGAAGCGATTTTCACATCATGCTTGTCTTTTATATGCTAAAGATGATTGGAATTATCGTAAATTTTGATTCTAATGTCAAAGATCTTTCTCTCATAATCATAGGTATGCCCCGGGACAATATCTTTTTCTCTCATATCCAGTTTTTAAAAATTTTCCGATATTATTTTTGTCGTCTCCGTTTTGAAGTTGAGTATGACATCAGAATTTATTTTGCTTTTATAAACCATACTGTATCTAGAAGATGCATTGCGGTAATAATATCTTACCGCAGCTGCAAAGATTAAACATGATTAAGAAGGATCGGACAATACCTTACAGGTAAAGTCGTAAGAACACGAGGCCATGAACCAATATTCGTCACGATATAAGCATGGATATATGTTTGATGGTTTCAAGAATTAAATTTTAGGGATATGTGAAATAAACAAAAAACTTACATGTGTCTGTCAAATAAAGTCATCTAAAGAACAAAATTCCACATAACTAGCCAAATAAAAAAAAACAAAAAGAAAAGACAGTCATCATTCTAGCAGAAATAGTTACAATTTTCATCGGGCACCATCAAGTTCAAATGCGATTTGGTTATTAATGCTGTCATACCCCATGGAGCTGGACGTAGTAGCATAATCACCACAAGTGTTGCTCAATTCGCCAAGCAAGTACTCTGCCTCCTCTGCTTGCAAATTTCTTTTACCCCAATGGTACTTCTCCATTGCTTGCAATCCTGCCAATTCATGGGCAACCTCCTTCATGGTCGGCCTTTCCTCTCCCTTCACTCCCACACATTGCCTAGCCAAAGCTGCTACTTCCTTGAGCTGCTCAACATTTACATCATTAAGCACCCGAGGATCGAGAATTTCAAGCAAGCGATCCTCTTTCATTGAAGAAACGAAGTACAGAGCCAAAACTCTCTTTTCTTCTGATCTTTCAAAACAAACAACCTTTTGTCCTGTTAGTAACTCAATAAGCACAACCCCAAAGCTATAGACATCACTCTTTTCAGTCAATAGACTTGTATGCATGTACTCAGGATCCAAGTAACCAAAAGTTCCTTGCACAATTGTGGTTATCTGTGCCTTGTCGGATGGGATCAATCTCGAAGCCCCAAAATCAGAAACTTTCGCGGTGTAATGGTCATCTAAGAGTATGTTTGCCAACTTGATGTCTCGATGAATGATCGGAACACAAGCAGCAGAGTGCAAATAAGAAAGGGCTTCAGCCGTTTCTGTGGCTATTCTCAAACGAGTTTCCCATGGAAGAAAAGAGGCACCAGCAACATTGTGCATATGGTCAAAAAGGCTCCCATTAGTGACATATTCATAGACTAACATAGGAACCGGAGTTTCCAAACAACATCCTAGGAGTTTGACAACATTCCTGTGGTTGATTTGGCAAAGCACAATTATTTCATTGACGAATTGTTCAACCTGACTTTGATCTCCTATTCTTGATTTTTTTATGGCAACCATCCGATTGCCCGGTAGTATTCCTTTGTAAACTGTTCCCTGGCCTCCCTGTCCCAGGATTCTACTTTCATGGTAATTGTTTGTTGCTTTTTCGAGTTCGTCAGCTGCAAATATTCTAACGTTTTCTCCGTACCCTTCTCGATTTGAAAGTTGTTCCCGTAACAAAATGCCACCATTTTGCTTGAAGTATTTTTCCCTCAATTTGAGGATCTTTCTTTGCCTTAACACCAAAAACGACCATGATATGAACAAGAAGAGAGCAAAAATGCCAATGCTTATCCCTGTATTCAAGGTAAACTTTAAGCACAAGTTAACTATAATCGTTAAAGTTGCGTTCGATTGACTAAAAAAGTCCTTACAGACCAATATAATGAGCCCGACGGTATAAGAAAAGTGAGGGCAGTAAAAAGTAAAAGCAACTATCAATACTAACCAATAGCAATCTGAGTAATTGGAAATTTCTCATTCTGAGGTTTGACTTTATAAGTGCAGCCTGTTCCAGTCTGCCGGCCGTCGCCTTCATATCCCTCCGGACACGAACAGTAAAAACTTCCAATTGTATTATGACAAGACGAATTGCAGGGCTTTGAAGTTTCACACTCATTTATATCTGGTAAAATCAAATGAAATTTTTTATGTTTAATGGCCTTGGAAATTTACCTGAACTTCTTTAAGGTTCAGGAAAAAGGGGTAGTTGATCAAGAGGAGTTGGTGTAATTACCTTGGCAATCGTTCGAGAGGTAAGGATTCCCCTGAAAACCATCAATACACTTGCACATATATCCATTACCAAATTCGGGATCCTCACAAATGGTATTCTCTTTGCAGGCGTAATTTTCAGGATCCTTTTTCGCTTCACTGCAAGTCTGATTCCCAATTGTCCAATCAAGAATCATTGGAAATCCTCTAGTCATCGCACTATAATTATCGAGATCTGAAACCGAGAAATTATAGGCCCCATCCTCTGCGACAAATGCATAGCTGCAAGGGTTGAAGCTTAATACTTTGGAATGGTTGAAGTAACTAGCGAGGCTGATTTGATAATCCCTCACTCCTCTTGGGATAGCTGCTTGGCAGCAGCCAATGCCTGAGCAAGATCCATTGATCACATCATTCCTTCTATTACACAATGATAGACAACCAGTTGCATAACTCTGTCCAATGGAACCTTGGATGAAAGCATAGGTGTCACAACCAATAGCTGTGAATTTGTTTCTGGTATGAGATATGTTGTATAAACCGGACCTGAGCCAAGTGTCAGAATAGAAGCGCTCTGACGAGTTATAACAATCAGAGGCTACGGAGCCACGGATGCGCAACTGACTATCGGGATAGAAATCTAGCACTTCGATGTTACTACGCTGTAAGAATGCTTTCGGTGTATCGGAAGTGTTGTCACATCTGATGAAGAACTTATTTTCCATGAAACAACCATTTTCTGTACCAAACGGATATGGCACTCTGAGGTTACCGCACCGTCTTTGACAGCCTGGTTTTGGTTGAATTGCTGCTGCTTTTGCTCTTGCTGTCAACATGATCATGAGTATGATAAACTCCATAAGCCTTCCACTCAAACCCATTCTCATTTTCCCCCAAGAAAATATGTTTTGAGGAGTTAAAAAATAAAAACATTTGTTGAAGGCTTTTTAGCAAGATCATTTGACAATTCAAACCCAAAGCAACCAATCACTAGCCATGTCGTTAACAGCGTAACCAAGAAGGAGGGTCAAAGGGAAGACGATCAATTATTCACCAGGTCTAACTTATAATTAAGGCAAAATGGGAAAAAAAATCATAGAACAAAAATTTAATAATCATTTAAGTTTATGTTATTTTGTTATAATTAATCAAATATTAATTTTTTATTTCAGATGAATTGAGCCTATAAATATTTATTTTCGTCAATTTGAATCACTGAATATATATATTTTCACTGTAATTAAGTCCTTGACTAGATGAAAATTAAATTAATGGTTAATCAATTTTTATTTAATAAAGACTCAATTGATAAAAGTAGATATTTAAAGACTTAATTGATTACAATAAAGCAATAAAATTTAAACCATTGCTGAAGTTTTATTTGAAGAATTTTTTTGTAGGACATGATTAATCTTTTAATTTCTTTGTTGATTATTCTTTCTTGGAAGTTTCACAATATCATCTCAATTATTCTTGATTCCAAGCACAAAATATTCAGTCACACTCTAATAGAAATTAATATATGGCATGTTTGATCGATTATATAAAAAAAAAAAGGTGGGTTTTTTATTCTATTTTTTCATGGATGGTGATGTTTTATTTTTTTTAGGCTCATAGCGCAACCATTTCCATTGACAACAGTGAATGGATATACAAATCAAATTTCCCTTCGGTTTCTTAACCTTGAAATAGGGGGTAGTCTTTTAATGTTTTTTGTTAATAAAATTTCAATGAGAGAAACCGACTCGCATAATTATGCTTTGAATAGCTAATATATTCTGCCATGAACCTGTGAGTTAGTGCTAGTTTACTCATCATCTTTATCTATATCACATTGTTATTTAATTGATTTATATTTTTTTTAGGTTTTATCAGTTTTAGAATTTCATTTCATTTTGTTTTATAATAAGTTCTAATAAAAGGATGAGAGTAATCTTTTATCTTTCTTATTTTTTAAGAAGTGAGTCTATAAATACAAACTTATAGTATGTATTATAAGCTTTATTTTTGATAAAATAGTATGTAATATAAGTTGAATTTAATAAAATTTTAAAATTAAGTTTCTCTTAGAAAATTCTTATTTACATTTTTTTTCTGTTTTTCTAGCCTTATTTATTTAAATAATTTTATTTTTTTGTATTTTAATATATATTAATATTAAAAGAATCAAATTTTGTTATGTTTAATCTCATTTTCATGTAGAAATCAACTTGTTTAATTATTGACCACCTAGATTGATGATGATAATTTCCAAGGCTAAAATAGTACTTGTAATGATATTTTCGAATATTATATATACATATTGGTGATTGACTTGTGAAAAACAAGCTTGCAAAGTCTTTTGTACCAAAACCTAAAAAACCGAGGAAGAAAAAACAGCTTGCCAAATGCCAAGGTGTACTTAATTTTAGTCATACTTGAGAAGCCTTCCACTCGGACCCATTCTCATTTTCCCCCAAGAAAATAAGATTATTTTAGGAATTAATCAAAGATTTTATAGCAAAATCGCTTGACAATTCAAGCCCAAAGTAGCCAATCACTAGCCATGGAAATAGTCGTCAATCTTTAATTTCTTTGCTCATTATTCTTTCTTGCAAGTTTCTCAATGTTTCCCCTAATCATTCTTGATTCCAATTGCACAAAACGTTCAGTCTAATTGAAATATATGGCATGTTTGATCGATTATATATATATATATATATATATCTAAAGAGCATGTTTTTATTCTTTTTCATTTTTTGATGGATGAGGGGTGTTTTATTTCTTTTTAGGCTCATAGCTATCATATCCATTAACAACAGTGAGTAGATATACAAATCAAATTTCCTTCCGGTTTCTTAAACTTTAATTAGCTGTAGTCTTTTAATGTTCTCTCTTTTTTTTTTTTTTTTTGGAGAAATTTGTTAATAAAATTTCAATGAGAGAAACCAGACTCAAATAATTTTGCTTTGAAATGAGCCTGTAGGTTAGTACTAGTTTACTTATCATATTTATGATCTCTATCACTTTGTTATTTAATTTATTTATATTATAATTTTAGGTTATATTAGTTTTAGAATTACATTTCATTTTGGTAATTTTAAACTCGGATTACAGTAATCTTTTATCTTTTTTATCTGTGAGTCTATAAATACAAGCTTATACTATATAATATAAGTTGAATTTAATAAAATTCTAAAATTGAGTTTCTCTTAGAAAACTCTTATTTGCATTTTTTTTTTTGTTTTTTCAACCCTTATTTAGAATGTCAATCCGCTTTGCCGGATTTTTTTATTTAATTTAAATCATATTAAATAATAATAATTTATTTAAATAATTTTACTTTTTGAAATATTTTAATGCATATATTAATATTAAAATAATAATATTTTGTTAATTAGGATGTGTTTAGTTTCATTTTCATGTGGAAATTAGGATGTTACTTATGGATCCAGTAATCAACTTGCTTAATTATATATAGAGGTGGTTCTCCTAGGATAAACATTAAAGACCCATTTGATGATGATAATTTCCACAGCGACAATAATGTTTGTAATGATATTTTCCAATATTTTGTTGATTGACTCGAGAAATACATGGTTGGCAAGTCTTCCGCACAAAACCAAAAAAAGAAAAGAAAAGAAAAGAAAAAATAGCTTGGAAAATGTCAAAGTCTTCTTAATTTTATTATGCGTGTGAAAGTTTAAACAACAACAAGAAGTTATATTTACTTTGTTATTGAAACACATAACAAGTATGACTTTTATCAGCAGCATGGATCTACAAAAAGAAAAATAAAGAAAGAAATATAGCAAGTGAGAATACAAATTGCCGCTACTAAATTCATGAGAATGTTCCAACAAATGTTGCAATTACCAAAGGAAGTGTGTAATTTAGTAGATTTATATGATAAAAAAACCATATATTATTATTGTTGTCCATTTCTTATTTACTTAAATATAGGGAGTAAGTCTTTCTAGGCTTACGTATGTAAGATGAGTTTTAGTCTTGTAACTGTAATCACCGAATTTTATCAGATGAAATTTTGTTTATTAATATTAAAATTAATAATTAATTTTTTTTTCAACATCTCTCATAACCCTGCCCAAAACTGACCCCAACTCACCTTGAGACCCATACACCACCTTATCCACCAACGCAACCATAAAAAGAGATACCCAAAAAAAAAAAAAAAACCCAACCATCAAGAGCCCTTCATAGGAAAAACATTCGGCTATAACCAAGAAACCAAAAAAAAAAAAAGAAAAGCAAATCATAGTCTTCCCGATCGGAAGGAGCTTCAGCGTCAAAGTTACTCTATTTGGAAAAAATCAATTTCAGTAAAACCAAAAAAAAAAAAAAACGAAGTTGTAATGTTAGCGGTGAAGCAACCCTTATTTAGAATGTCAATCCGCTTTGCCGGATTTTTTTATTTAATTTAAATCATATTAAATAATAATAATTTATTTAAATAATTTTACTTTTTGAAATATTTTAATGCATATATTAATATTAAAATAATAATATTTTGTTAATTAGGATGTGTTTAGTTTCATTTTCATGTGGAAATTAGGATGTTACTTATGGATCCAGTAATCAACTCTCTTAATTATATGTAGAAGTGGTCCTCCTAGGATAAACATTAAGCACCCATTTGATGATGATAATTTCCATAGCGACAATAATGTTTGTAATGATATTTTCCAATATTTTGTTGATTGACTCGAGAAATACATGGTTGGCAAGTCTTCCGCACAAAACCAAAAAAAAAAAAGAAAAGAAAAAATAGCTTGGAAAATGTCAAAGTCTTCTTAATTTTATTATGCGTGTGAAAGTTTAAACAACAACAAGAAGTTATATTTACTTTGTTATTGAAACACATAACAAGTATGACTTTTATCAGCAGCATGGATCTACAAAAAGAAAAATAAAGAAAGAAATATAGCAAGTGAGAACACAAATTGCCGCTACTAAATTCATGTGAATGTTCCAACAAATGTTGCAATTACCAAAGGAAGTGTGTGTAATTTAGTAGATTTATATGATAAAAAAACCATATATTATTATTGTCGTCCATTTCTTATTTACTTAAATATAGGGGGTAAGTCTTTCTAGGCTTACGTATGTGAGACGAGTTTTAGTCTTGTAATATAAAAGAGTAAAGTTTCTATGGCGATATTTGAGGAAACAGTAAAGTTAAGTCAGTAAGTAAGTCTTAGTTTTGGAGCAAAAGTAACATGGCAGATGACCTAGAAGATAGTGTTGTGCCTAAAGTAATAAACACAACAACACAAAAGTAATATATTACAATAAATCTATAGTAATAGATACAATCAACAATGTAAAAAAAATAAAGCACACCAAGATTTACGTAGAAAACCCTCAAATGTAGAGAGAAACACCACGAATCATTAGAAAAAAATCTCTACTATCAAATAATTGATATACAAAGTTCTTTTCTAGTTAAAATAATAGATATACAAAGTTCTTTTCTAGTTAAAACTAAAGCTAATCAACAACTAGAAAGACAATTGAAAAAATCTCACCAAATAGGTAACTCAACAAATACACCATAGATTTGTTCTTAAAGAGCTTCAAACCCGATCTTCACCGTTCAAAATATAGAACTTTAAATCATAAAGCTGTTGATAAAGTTTCAGCTCAATCGGACCACGGATTGACTTTCATTCAACCAACTCTCCCTTCTTCTTTTTCTCTATGCTTTTCCTAACTTTTCTTTTTTTCTCTTCTTGGTTTGCGACACTACATTAAAACAACTCCATCTCTTTTTTATTAAGCAACTAAGGCTCTATGTAAAAAGAAAGACCAAAGTCCATAACCTTTGCTTGATCCAAAACCAATTACATAGGGTTGGACCCTATTTTCCTAGCAATCTCCCCTTCTAGCCCTATTAGGAGGAGATTCATCACTATAGCAGTTTCATTTAGAACTTACTTTAGCCAAGAAACTCATTCTGGTCAAGTTACTGTAAAGCTTAAGCTTTTCTCTGGGAAGTG